CACTGCACTGCGTGTGCAGAAACCTGACCGGATCTGGTCTGCATTTGGTGTGAACAAGGCCTAAGTCTCTCTTTTGACTTAGGCCAGGGTTGCACTTGGGCGATCCGTGACCGTGCGGTAATCGTGCACGAAACCGCACGGTCACGGAACCACACACCACTGCTGATCGCCCTGGTGGTGCCATTCTTTTTTAATGGCATCCCAGGCAGATCGCGTGGTTTCCCGCTGCGATTCCGCCCTTGAAATTGCGCATGTATTCGCAGCCTAAAAAAAACGTGAGGCGCGTGTCGTGAAAAAAAAGTACATGTACCTTTTTTCAGCGATTGCCGCACGGATATAACTCCATTGAAATCAATGGGGCCGCACAGCAACCACTGTGTGCAACTGCACACGATTGCGCGGTCCTGAGATCGCCCAAGTCTGCACCTGGACTAAAAGCAGAACTCCAGGCAAAAGTGTTTTTAACACGGTATTTGCGCAAATGTTTATCAAACACGTATTTTTAGGATACAATACACTAAAATGAAATTTAGTGCACAGAATATAATACCCAATTGTTTGGTAAAATATAAAACACGGGGTCACGCCGGGTACATAGATACCCAAACATGTCAAGCCTTAAAATTGTGTGCGTCCGTGAAACCGCAAAAAACGACAGTATCCAAAATTTCCCATCCTGCTGCCCCTCTACTCCCTGCCGCCCCGAGGCCGAGCCTCATCGGCCTTGTGGGAAATCCGACCCTGACTGCGACTCTAGTTGGTTGGGTAGGGGAAGGCCGGAGATGGATTAGTCCCAGATCACACCTAGGCACTGTCGCTTAAAGGTAAGCACGACAAAACGCTCAAGACGAGGAATCCCATTAATTTCTGTGGCCCCTGTTCACACCGGAGGGTTTGCTGCAAGCAGAAAAACGCCTGTCACTGGAAAAAATACACGAGCCACTGATTGGAAGATTGCATTGGATGATTTGTGGCCCCTTGAGATGGCAATATAACTTATCACTATCCTCCTTCAGCTGCATTTTTTCCTGCATTTCCGCATATGCCATGGTGAGCTATAATGCTATCGAATTAAAAGCAATTTGCTGATTAAAATAATAGCGGAGGAGCATAAATGGGCGCTGGAAATTCGGCCAGCTCAGATTTTTTTCCCCTCCCCTCCCTCGTATCATTCGGCATGGCGTGCTGGCACGGATGTCAACAAGCCGCAAGACCCATCGGAAAGGGCAAATAGGCCATTTCGTGCGGCTTGATCCTGAGGCTGCGGTGTAACCAGATAGAGCTTCTGCTGTAATCTCCAGGCCCAGAACACAAAGGAAGGAGTGAGACCGGCCTGCCTCCTCCATATCCTCTCCCATAGACGGACAATCAATCTTTCAAAATGCTCCTATCATTTGTGATTGTATCTGATTGTATCTGCCTTTCATGTCCGGAACACTCGTACAATACCCCATTCTCTCGCGCAGCTTTATTTTAACTTCTGGAGAGCCGTGGCCACAAGCCCCAGCTCCAACGAGGGGTATAATCGCTCGCATGAGTTCATCCCTCCGACTAATCCCTAAACTGGCAGCGGACGGAGATGTGAAGGAGGCAAACATCTTCTTTTTTTTCCCCTCTGTAATGGCAGCAATTAGCAGGTCATCACTGCTTTTATCTCATCAAGCAGAGTTTTGTTTCCCAAGATTCTGAAACCTTATAACGCTTGTTACGTTCGTCTTCAAAGGCCCCAGACAATCGATGTGCCTAAAGGGGACACCAATTTTACACCATTAACCCTTCTGACGCCACTGGGAAAAAAGGAAGAAAACTCCAAAATTGTGACCCCGGCATGGCGTAGGGTGAAGATGACACATTATGACCTTTTCAGAGGTGGTGTGAATGGCTTCTTCCTGAACAATGGGCTAAGATGGCTACATGTGAATTAAAGGAATGCTCCAGTCAAAAATGAACCATTTAAAGCTAATCGCCAAGCAGAGGCGTCCCGAGGCGGGGTGATCCCCGGTGTGGGTACCGGGTGACACCCCGCAGTGACGTCACGCGAGGTACCGCTGTTACCTGCCGGCGGCCATCTTGGTGATGGACGCCGGCGGGGAGGGGACGTGACCCTGGAGGGATAAGGTATGCAGCCGGGTCCCCTCCTCCCTCTCGAGCAGCTGTCAGGCTCTCGGTCCTTGACGAGTACCTGACTTTTCAGAGGGGGTGACACCAAAATGCCTGTCAGTCATTTTGGTGTCACCTGGGTGCAGGCCGCACCCCCCTTGTGACATCACTGTCTCCAAGCAAACAGTTGAGAAGCATATATGGGAGCTGTTTACCTGCTGTATTGTTGGGGAGCTCACAGGGCACTCGCACAGGGATTTTCCATAAACCAAAAGAAGTCTCTATTCTTTTTCTCCAGGCAACTCACAGGTGAAAAACACAACTTCAGGCTTAACTTCAACATATAACACAAAGTATAACACCAACTCAAGGTTGTCCTGTTCACTCGCAGTGTCCAGTCCCAGGACTTTAACATTTGCCTCAGTGGTACTTCATACCCGTTAGCTGCTTCCAGCAGCTTTCCACACCTCTCTCAGCCTGTCTAATCCTCCAGCCTCCCTGGCTGTTCCTGGTCTGGCTCCACCACACCACCTGACTTGGCCCTCATGTGCCTCCAGCACACACCACACCCTGACTGTTCCTGGTCTGGCTCCACCACACCACCTAGCTTGGCCCTCGTGTGCCTCCAGCACACACCACACCCTGGCTGTTCATAATCTGGCCCCACCACACCATCTGGCTTTTTGCCCTAGTGTGCCTGCAGCACACACCACACCCTGCCTGTTCCTGGTCTGGCTCCACCACACCACCTGGCTTGGCCCTCGTGCGCCTCCAGCACACACCACACCCTGAGCGATGTCGTACTTCAGAAACCTACGCTCAGGACACAAATGTGGCCTTAAAGTACTTTTTTTAAACGTTTTACCTGGACCCTCTCGCATTCCTCAATCCTCGCCTAGGTGAGGGTGACGTACTGCCCAAACCTGCAGCCTCCTGGCAAACCCAAGTCACACTTCCCAGGAGGCTGGAGTTCCATTCAGCATGGAAATTGTGCAATGACTGCCTTTAGGCGATCCCTTAAGACTCATCTCTTCAGGGAAGACTATCCCAACCCAACCTAACCACTCAACCATCACGTTCTCAAACAATTCATCCCCACACAGCTACCTCCTCATGTATCATTGGCCCCTCCCTTTTAGATTGTAAGCCCTCATGGGCAGGACCCTCCTTACCATCTTGTCTTGAATGTTATTTAATTGTAATGTCTTGCTTATATTGTAAAGCGCTGCGAAAACTGTTGGCGCTATATAAATCCTGTATATTAATAGTAAGATCTTGCTTGCTACAATGAACATCACAACGCCAGACCTCCATCTGCGATCCCACGTGGTCTGGTATTGGCCATCAAGGGGCCGGCTGCAAGAATCAAGAAGAGAATGAATGTAATGAAGATGGCAGCACGCGAGCGGGTGTGCAGCAAAAGAGTGGCCGATCAGAAGAGGACAAGGCAACATTCGCTAGGATGGTAGTTATATCTATTCAGCATTAAACAGCAAGAGAGAGAAAGGGGAACTGGGCAAGTTTTACACGGGGAGGTGGAAGGTCCTCTTTAAGGATAAGTGCTCTTTAAGTGCCCTTACCCTTTAAAAAACGCAGAGTAGGTGGGAGTCAGGAGGAGGAATTTCACGCTGACCTCTCCATACTCGGGTTCAGACGGTCAGACATGTCACAAACTATTAGCGACTGTTGAGGGAAAGGCAAACCACTTTCCATGGCGAACGCCTTGGTTTGTTTTTCTTTCCCAAATAGTTTATTTTTATAAAAGCTGCGTCCCAATGCCCAGTGGGCACCTCCTGTCACTCACTGTCCAGGGTGTTTGGTAAACACAGGGGGGGCCGTGACGTCGCATGACCTGGGTCGGGGAGTCTGGCCTTCAGATGCTCCTGTGGTCTTTATGAACATCTCAAACCTTTAAAAGGATTTTTAAAAAACCTTCATCGCCTTTCCTGCTATTAAAGGGTAGAAACAATGCTACGAAGGCAAAATGGTTCTCTTCTATGTCTATGTTTATGGGTTTAGATACACTTTAAGTGGGGATGCACTAGATCTTTTGTTTTTTCATTGAAGACATATCACTTTACTTCCTGTCCTGGTGACACCAATGTGCGTCACGGTGATGTAGGGTGTCACTAGTACAGGACATAAGGAAATTCTTCCCATATGGGACAGAAATTAAAAACCTATTAGAGGTTCTAACCCTTCTCAGCTCTATAGAAAACTTCCAGTAAGTGTTGTCTGGAGGTGAGCTTTAAAGGAGAACTGTGGGGTCAGGGCTTTTCCCCATAGTTCTCCTTAGGGTAACGGGACGACACAAACTAGCGTCCTCCCGTCACCCAAAGCTCAGTATCTCAGTAGCTCGCGGTATACTGAGACGTCGCAGCTGAAGCGGATCCCGACAATTATGTCTGGAGCCGCCCAGCTGCGTGAATGACAGCTGGCTCTGCCGATCTAGAGGCAGAGTCAGCTGTACCCGCCCCCTCCCCCGTCTGTTCCGCCAGTCAGCGCTGGAGGATCGGAGCGGGGAATCCAGCCCCTCCCCTGTCACGGCAGAGGGCCGTGACAGGATCGAGAAGTGAGCAAACACCGGCATGTGTTCGCTCACCTCCCGATCTACTGAGCCCAGTTATAAATAGCTTACAAAACTATTGTGCATATATTTTTAGATTGTAAGCCCTCATGGGCAGGGCCCTCCTTACTATCTTGTCTTGAGTTGTATTGTGATTGTAATGTCTTCCTTATATTGTAGAGCGCTGTGCAAATTGTTGGCGCTGTTTAAATCCTGTATAATAATATATATAACATGGATTTTACTAAAACATGACAGTGAATACATCCCCCCTGTAGGTGTATCTACTTGTACAACGCTGCCCACTAGTGGCCAAAGAGTTTTTTCTTCTTACCTTTAAGGCTGGGATCTCCACATTGTCATTGAGACTGACGGAGCCGGAGAGGACGGTGCCTGTCATCACCGTGCCCTGACCCTTGATGGAGAAACAGTGGTCAACTGCCATAAGGAAAGGCCCCGAGGGATCTCTGCGGGGAAGATAGGCCTGAGACTTCAAGAGCTGCAGAACAAGAAGGCAGAAAACACACAAGGGTTCATTCAGAGTGCAAGAGAGCAAGGCCAAATGAGCGTCGTCGCCAGTAGCTCTGCGATATCATCTTACACGAAGTGCAGATTTCTAGTAATTAGAATAAAATACAAACTTAACATACAATTAAACCGTAACTGAATGGAATCTACTTTGCTAAAATCACTGCGTATCAAGGTTAATTCCCTTTTTAGGTAAACTATTTTTCACCCCTTTATTTTTCTTTTTATTCCTTGTTGCATCCTAGCAATGTGGATCTCCTGTAGCAACTTTGCAGCCACTTCCTGTCTACATGCAAATGGGTCCAGCGATCGCTGCATGACACTCCTGCCTGTGTAATGTGTGTTGAAAAGGTCACTTGTAGTCTCCATCTAGGGATGCACCGATACCGATACTAGTATTGGTGCCGATACTGAGTATACGGCCGAGTACTTGTACTCGCCCAAATACTCCGATAACTATCCCGATACCAGAACTTCCGGTCAGAGGGAGATTTCCAGGGGAGTGCTGAGAGAGCATGGAGCCGGCTTCCTTTCCAATCAGGAAGCCGGGTGGTGAGTTATGACCGGCTTCACTTGTTGGTAAGCAGCCTGGCTTCCTAATCAATCAGGAGGCAGACGGCACATTAAGACTCGTGCCCCAGCTTCCTGATTGGTCAGGAAGCCACGCTACCTAGCAATAAGTAACGCCATCTTCTTAGCAAATCAGGAAGCCGGATCATGACGTACCGCACGGCTTCCCGATTGCTAGGAAGCCAGCTTCACCTTTCGCTAAGCAGCCTGATTTCCTCACCAATCAGGGGGCCGGACAGCACCTCCTGGCTTGCCCGACAGCTTCCCGATTGGTCAGGAAGCCAGACAGCCTCAGCAAGTGAAGCCGGTGTTATTTCGCTAGGACACTGGCTTCACAGGCAATCAGGAAGCTGGGCGACGGGTCACGATTCAGCACCTGACTTCTTGATAATCTGGGCACAAGGTACCGGTACTCGGTACAGGCGAGTACCAAAATAAAATATCGGTACTCGTACTCGATACCAGAAAATCGGTATCAGTGCCTCCCTATCTCCATCTGTAGCCTATGTGACAATGCAAAAGAACAATTGTGAGAGAGAGTCAGACTGTTGTCACAATATCACAGTAATTGCCGACCACTTCCTGTCTACATACATGTGCTCCATGTATGTAGACAAGATGGTGACAACGGCAGAAAATCCTGCATAATGAGTGTCAATATGGCTGCCTATAGTCTACACAGGAAGCACACGTGACAGGGTGACAGCACAGGAAAGCCGAGGTTGTCACTCTAACAGAAAATGCCTGAACAAGGACCCCCATGGCAGGATCATCACCAGGGTATATTATTCTA